TACATTCCTAGCTCACACCACCTGGGCTAGGGTTATTCCAAATGGCAACTTTGCCCACCAGTCAGCAATCAGGACACTGATTTAGCCACAAGATTTACAATTTTAAATACTCCAAAATATTCCAGTGTTAATACAAAAGGATTCAGTGGCAACTACTTTCCACATCCAACCGGCAAAACCAGAGAACAAGCACAACGAATGAACTACTGTACCTCCCAGAATCAGGAAGCAATCACACCTGCACTTTCATGAAAATGGCATCTGAAATGTCAACTCTTCTGTGCCTACAGTGTTGTCAAGTGATACATATCTGATCACTTCCTAGTATAGTATCCATGTCTTACTTTATTATTTTAGGGCCACTTCACACTTAGATGTACATTGTGTGACCACAAACTGGCAAACTTGTTTATTGCACAGGTACACTCCTGGCATGATGTGATCCATGGGGTTGTGAAGAGTCAGACTCGACTGTGTGACTGAACAACAACAACACACTCTTCAGACAGCCAGACTGGCTGCAGCTCTATTTAGTAGCGACCGATTTTTTTTCTTAATCACAAGAATGGCCATTTCATATATTATGTCCCACAGTAAGACTCACCTTTTACTTTTAACCTTTGTCTCTTTTACCTCCAAAGTATTCTCCTCCTCTTCTTCACCTTTTACCTGTTCCAAAGAACAACATTAAAGTCTAGTCAATGCTACCATTTATAATTTCCACAGGAAAAATCACTGAATTAATCAGGAAAAAGTACAAGATGATGTGTATTTCCTACTGGCAGAAAGAAAGGGATTAGATATTCAAGAGGGTGCACAATTTTAATTAATAACATACATGCTAATAATTAATTATCCAATCATTAACAACCTGGAAGACGTTGTAGCTATGTATTACCAAGAAGTAACTACTAGACATGTCTGGCAAATCTTTGAGAGTCTTCTACTAGTTTTCAAATAGTTTATGGAATAGAGGTTTTCCAAGACTTACACTTTACTGGGCATCTTTGGAAAGCAGCCACCAGCTGACCAAAATAATAGTGTAAGATTTAATTTTGGTTCCCCGCTACTGAAATCACAAAAAAACCCACTTCTGATTTCTGCTTTTCTGGCAATACTTTGAGCCTCCAATGCTTACAGAGCAAAATAATGTATCTGTCAACTCTAGGGGGGTTTCATTTTGGTTCAAACAGGCCAAAAGAAAAAAGGGATGTACATGATGTTCCATTGTTCTTTAGAGGAATTAAAAACTAAAGGTGAGACCAGGGAATAGAAATCCCTAGAACTGGGCTTCACACGGAACCAATGAAAAAACCTGCCATTTCAGTATGGCACTAACTACTCTATCAACAATATATTTGATTGCACTTTTAATGCACACAGTACTTAGAGGCCTCACCACAATTCTAAGGATATTATTCCAATTATTTTGCAGTTCATGTGATGATTCCTTATTCCCACCCTATTTTACCAATCTGAAACAGCTCTGGCTGCTATTTGCCCCACTGGGGAAACTTACATTTGGATACCTTAAGTTTCCTCAACATGGCAAACAGCAGCTCCCTGGGGCTCTTCCAGGTTGGGAAACAGTGAGTGGGGGAAGGCTTAAGACCCCTTTCCCCAGTGTCCTATTCCAAAATCAGGCATGCACGGATACGGGAATTAAATTCTGAGCATCGAAATCCCAGTGCATGTCTGCTTAGAGGCAGCCACATGGGAGCCACAAAGACTTTGGTGCTGAGACAGGTCTGAAAACAGGAACCTCAGAGTCCACATGCAGTATTATCCTAACTCAACCATGTATTATTTTCCAGGCCAGCAAGCGAACAGACTGTAGGGCAACCCTGCAGACTCCTACAAAGAAAGCAACCTCATGGAACTCAGGACTGACTTTGCAACTAAATATGTTTGGATGTGACTCTAAGTCACATGACAAATTGGGCTTTAGGGATGGTAAATGGAACAAGGCTGTTCCTCTCATTCAACTTGAGCAACTCCTTTAGCTACCAGATGAAGGACCAAAGTCCCTGCCCACTTTCCTTACAACACTCCCCCCCCCTTCCCTTCCCCCACGAGCTGATCAAACAAACTCTGAACAACTCTTGACTACAGTATCTTCAAATGGAAATTTTAAATGAAAATCAGGAGTGGGGAAAACATCTCAACGATGGACAGAATGCAAAGGCAGAAGAATTACGCAGCTATTGTAAGGCTTTAATGTATGCACACGTACTGAAAATGGGAGCAGGGACTGAACTAAAATGTCCATTTATTTCCCTCTTTTATTTATACTCTGCCTTTCTCCCCAATGAGTACCGAATCAGGTTTAAGGTAATGGCGCTAACCTTTAAGGCCCTATGAGGCCAGGGACCAGCATACCTGCAGGACTGCCTCTCCCCATAAGCATCTCAAAGAGCCTTGCGCTCTCCAGACCAGCACCGTTTTATAGTCCCCAGCCCGAAAGACGTCCACCTTGCCTCGACCAGGGTCAGGGCCTTCTCAATCCTGGCCCTGGCGGAACATGCTCCCTGACTGAGATCAGGTCCCTGTGGGATTTGCTGCAATTCTGGAGGGCCTGTAAAACAGAGCTGTTCCCTAGGCCTTTGGCTGAGGCCGCGGATGTCACATAACATTGGCCTCCCCTGCCTCAAGCGCTTCATGTGCACTACGGTGCGATTGAGATCATGGGTGCTAGAAGCATCCAACTTATTCCACCAAATGATCCACTGCCCCTCCTGGCATAAGCATAGCATATTGGAATAGAAATTAATTACTGAGCGGCTAATAGATATTTAAATGATTAATTTAAATTTTAATCTGGTTAAGGTTTTTTTTATTGTTGTAACGTTTTTATGAATGTATTTATTGTTCTATGAGTTGATGTAAGCCACCCTGAGCCCCCTTGCAGTGTAGGGCGGGGGGGAAATCACAAAATAAATGTGAAAATGAAGACCCAAAGCGGCTTACAACATTCCCTCCTCCATTTTATCCTAACATCGATCTTATAAAGTAGGTTAAGCTAAGAGTGTGTGTTTGGCCCAAGGTCACCCAACAAGCTTCCATGGCAGAGCAGGGATTTGAACCTGCAGTCTCATGAATCCTAGTCTGAAACTCTAACCACTAGAGTTGGGGGGGGGGATAAAAAGATGTAGATGTCCACTGAATGGTCACTGCCAAGTCTCTGCACAGAGCCAAGCCTGCTGGTTTGTCATACATTGCCTAAAAGCAATCTGCTCTTCAAAACAATTCATCCCCAAATAGTTCAGATGGCTTTCTTTTCTAACACTTCAATGCATGTTTGTAGCCATTCAAAGTTCAAGAAAACGCACCTTATATTGACTTGTTCCAGACTACACTTTATATTGACTTGTAATCACAATAACAGAAACCACTTAAAATGTCTTTTGTATAGGCTCTCGAACATTCCAAGATGCTATTTACCGACTTCTCCAAATACCCCAAGCCAACCAAGAAGCACAGATAGTGCTAAATGCTAAGAAGCCACTGAAAAATTCTCTTGCCTGCAGCCTGTGTGTGCAGCTAACCACAGGCATTGTAAACTGTCATGCGTATAAAATTTTACGGACATGCCTGGAGGACCACGCCTCCTTCCCTTCAGGTTGTTACTGGCTACACTCTGACTGAAGCGCTTATGCTTACGTGTCAGCATTTGCCAGGCCACTACTACAACAGCAGTTCACAAGACGGAGAACTGACAGTCAGGAAGAAGAGAATTAAAGAAACATGTGACAGACCAAATCACCACTTTGCACATTTCTTAGACAGACACATTGGCAAACTCCAGGATCAATCTACATACTACTTCTCAGCAGCTGACTCCTCTCCCCAATCCCCACATAAGCGCTATTTTCCTTATACTGCGTTCCTAGGTAACGTAGAAAACTATGTAGACAGCGCCAGGGATCCACTTCTGCTAAATGAACAAAACATAATTACGTTCATAATGTGTACCTTTCTTATACTACCCAAATTACAATGCTAGCTCCCTCATCTCATATACCAGTGTGATGCGGAGCTTCAACTGTCTGACTGGGATCCAGGACCAACGCTCCCTCTAAGCTGTGGAGCCTTGTGAGCAAAAATTCTACTTTGTGAGCTACTGGCATGAAAGTTGTGAGCGAGCGATTTGGCTACTGCATAAAAGAGTTTGCTCTGGAGCCCTCCTTCCTGAGCTAAGACAAAAATGTGTGAGCCGGAGGCTAAAAATCTGTGAGCTAGCTCACACTAACTCAGCTTAGAGGGAACAGTGTCCAGGACCCCCACATTCAAATCCCCACTTTGCCATGGAAGCTCATCATGTGAACTTGGGACAGCCACTGTCTCAGCCTAACCTACCTCACAGGGTTGTTCTTTGATAGGACAAAATGGAAGAGGGAGAACAATGTCCTTAGATTTCCCTTGGGGAGAAATGCAGGACAGGCATATGTAAATAAGTGAAAAATTTCTTCCACCCGCAGACGGCATCTTAGCAGACCAGACACTGAGCGTAAAGACAAATGAGACCAGGCTCCACCATTACCACCACCAATCAATTATCCAGCACAGTACTCAAGCACGGAAATCAAACCATTGCAGAACTTGCATTTACAAGACAAAAAAAATCACTGCTAATGCCAACAAAGAGAAGGGGAAGCAACGAAAGCTATAGAGCAAGGGAAATTAACACCACACTGGGAGAAAACAGGGAAAGTGTCACCGCGGGAGGAAGAAACACTAAACAACACACAAAATTAGCGGTGCAAAGAAGAAGCGATTGGCGGCGCCAGAACTGGTATGTGCAGCATCTTTATGGGGGGGGGGGGGGATCAGGCACAGGGTGCTTCAAAAGGAAAAGCACTGTGACTCTCTACGCTGCTCACCTGCACCCCCAGGTATGCCAGGTGGCTCTCCAGGCCGGGATCCAGAGCCAGAAGGAAAGAGGAGGCAGCCCCGGAGCTCCCTGCGGAGTTCACCAAGCTCAGTTCGGCCGTCACTTTGGCCAGGTGCGTGCTAAGATCTATCGTCCGCTTCACCTCTTCGTTGAGCAGCTCTGGGGCCGTCAAGGCGCGCCCCAAGCAGAGAAAGAGGAAAAGGCTGGCGAGGTAGGACTCCATGGCCGGCCACGCTGAGAGACGCAGCGGCGGACCAAACCGGATGGACTCACTCCTTTGCGATGCCGCTCATTCATCGGGAGGGCACAAGATGGCGCCCCCCACGCTGAGGGAAAGACAAGATGGCGACACCCAGCAAGCAGCCGGCGCAAATGACTCGAGGACCCCTCCCTCTGTGGTGGCCCTGCCCGCCTGCCCCATGTGATCGAGGCAGCTCTGCGGTTGCCTGAGTGCACGTGAGAAATCGAACCCAGCGCTGGAGGGATGCGTCAGACTGCAGTGCTGTCAACAACCCAGATATTCAAAACAACAAGACAAAACCTTAACCAATTGCAGAAAAACTGTAGAATAAAGAAAAAAAATAGAACCCATTTCTCTCCAAAATCCCGAAATATGGTTTTCAAATTGTAAGAGGTATCAGAATTAGAGACGTATTGAGAGAACTTGTTTGTGGACGTGTTCCAGAGCTGAGTCTTTTACCTCTTTGCAAATTTTCAAGGAAACCCCATTAAAACAACTTTAAAACCATGTTGTAATTGGCGGAGTACTTAATTATTTAAATTACTAAGACAATGTTGCTTCCAGTAGTGCAATTCTGCACTGTCATTTCTATTGTTGTTGTTTTCATTCATACCTAGCCTTTCTTCTCAACAGGAGCCCAACATGATTTACATCATTCTCCTCCGTTTTATTCTTGCAGCAGCCCTGTGAGGCAGATTAGGCCGAGAGTGTGCAACTGGCCTCAACTCACCCAACAAGCTTCCATGGCATGAGTGGGGACTTGAACCTGGGTCTCTCAGATACTGGTCCGACACTCTTAACCATGACAAGCTTCCATGGCAGAGCAGGGATTTGAACCTGCAGTCTCATGAATCCTTTTGCTTAGTGGGATTTCAGTTGTGTAGATTTTATAGCTTTATCAGTATCTCTTCCTTTTTTATATTTAGGAAATATGCAAAGTGGTACACAAATTAGGGTTGCCAACTCTAGGTTGGGAAATACTTGGAGATTTGGGGGGTGGAGCCTGGGGAGGGCAGGGTTTAGGGAGTGGAGGGACCTCAGCAGGGTACAGTGCCATAGAATCCACCCTCCAAAGCATCCCTTTTCTCCTGGGGAACTGATCGGTGCAGGCTGGAGATAAACTGTAATTCTGGGGGATCCCCATGTCCCACTTGGAGGGTGGCAACCCTAAAATGGTGGCCATAAAAGGTCACAGTGAGAATGACTCTCAGCTTGGTAGATTGAGGTGGATAGCCGTGTTGGTCTGAAGCAACAGAACATATTGTGAGTCCGGTGGCAGCTTTAAGACTTAAAGGTGCCACAGGACTCAAACTTTGTTCTCATCTTGGTAGGGCAGCGATGGCTGGTCTCTTATGTTTATTTGCATCTGATTAGAGAGAGTATTCCCAGTAGGATGGAAGTATTTATTTACTTCATTTATACCCCACCTTTCTCTCCAATGGGGCCTCAAAGTGGCTTACACTGTTCTCTCCTCCATTTCATCCTCATAACAACATTAGAATCACAGAGTTCGGAGAGACCCCCCAGGGTCATCTAGTCCAACCCCCTGCACAATGCAGGAAATTCACAAATACCTCCCCACCCCAGTGACCCCTGTTCCATGTCCAGAAGAATACAGGAAAACATCCAAGATTCCTCCAAGAGCATAAGCCATGTTGGATCAGGCCAGCGGCCCATCTAGTCCAACACTCTGTGTCACACAGTGGCCAAAGCCCAGGTGCCATCAGGAGGTCCGCCAGCAGGGCCAGAACTCCAGAAGCCCTCCAGCTGTTGCCCCCCAAGCACCAAGAATACAGAGCATCACTGTCCCAGACATAGAGTTCCTTCTATACCTTGTTATAGAATAAGAAGGGGGGGAAAGTCTGTGGGATGACCCAATGTAATATGAGAGCAAATTCATAAAGCTCAAACATTATAGAGTATATAAGTCCAGGCCTTGGTTGCTGCCAGAGCGCACCGGAGCACCACTCCTCCAGCCAGGAGCGCAGGGGGCGGGCATATAAGCCCCACCCCCTGCTCCCACCAGCCATCAGTTGGGACACGGGGGGATGTTCCCCTGCCTCCCTGAGCCCCGGGCTGGTGGCCTTGGACTCCTAGGGGCAAATTCCACCTCTCCCGCGAGAGGTCATTCTGGCTCCCCCCAGCTCTCCTTAGGGGCTCTTTTAAAAATTATGCCCCCGCCCGGCCGCTTTAGGCGGCAGCTGCAACCACCGCAGGGGGGGGGCGACTGCTGAGCTGCCCTCCCCGGCTTTTTCAGTGTCCGGGGCCTGAAAAACGGCCTGCAGAGCCCCCCCATTCTCCCGTCCTTTTTGGGCCTGAAAAAGGGCCAGCCGAATGTCAATTTCGGCCCCATTATATCCTATGAGCCATTGAAGTCAATGGTGAAAACATAGGGTATATTCTGGGGGCTGAAAGGGAGGGAGTTTGAGGGAGAGGCTCCAAACTCGCAGGGTAGCTGCTGGAGCCTTTCCCCAAGATACCAACCATGTTTGAAGAACATTGGACCAGGGGGTCCAATTCTACGAGCCCCCAAACAGGTTGCCCCTATCCCCTCCATTGTTCTCTATGGTGGGGAAAAAGCCATTATTGGTACCTCACAAGCTAGACTTTTGACTTCCCCTGTCTCTATCCCTTTAGGTGTGACATTCTTGCAGAGATGTAAGATTGTAAACCTTTTGTCTTTTTTGGGGGGGGGAGCTATTTGCATAACTAAGGCCTGAAGTACTCTGTGCTTGGAGTTTGATGACTTATCCCCCAGCACCTTCCTTCTTTGCAGCTACAACCTTGCAGCCAGGCTCCAGTTCGCAGACAGAGTGTAGTCCCAATTATTGGAACCATAGATGTGATTTCTAGCATGGACAAAATTTCTCTACAGAAGCATTTTGAAGTAAGAAAACCCTAGAAAAACCTAAGAAATAAATCTATGATCAGTTTATTTATCACATTAACTTCAAATATCTTAAATGCACACATTTTTGTTGTTTCGTGTGTGTGCCTGCATGTCTGTGTATGTCTGGGGTTTTTTACACAAAATATATTTTTTTAATTTTAAAAGTTTATTAAAAGCATTTCAAACATATATATATAAACCAGA